GTGTGTTTTAAAGTGATGGAAAAGAATTCTATTTATAGTTGAGCCTCCTCACATCCAATGGTCCATATTATTTACATCAACGAGTAAGATGTGCCCAAATAATACAAGATCTTCTTATCTAAGGAAATAACATTCAATATTATTTAATCACATCAATTAGGATATTCTTTTCCATTAATAAAAGACCACACTGAATATGACAAGATTTCTCTAGGATATTCTCTAATATGATAGCATTTTCTTTTTCACCATGATTAGTGTAAACGAATTCTCTGTAAACGAACTCTCTTGCATATAAATAAATTTAGAGCCCGAAAAAATTAGGTATTACACATATAATAATATAATCTGGCTTAATGACTTTATTAACATGAGATGTGGTTAGCATATATTATAATTTGAGATGAAACTAAAATGTTCAAAAATTTGAGACAAATTAAAATAAGGGTTATAGTTTGAAGAGGAAATTGGAACATTCTAAAGTTTTTGAGGATTAATTTTGAATGAAATTCATTGTTTGTTTATCTAAAAAAATTCATAAATTGGGAATAAATTTGGAATGTCCAAAAATATAAGTATCAATTTAAAATAGGAATCATAGTTTGAGATTCTATAGTGCAATTAACTAAAAAAACCGGTCTTGTAGTTATGCGCGATTAGGACGCCATCAAAGCCGTCCGTTAATAACCAGGACATCCAACGGTTTTGGATAAACGAGCAAACTTGTGATTTATTTTTCTTGGAAACACCGGAGCATTTGCTTTTCTTTTGGCGCCAACTCTCATTTTATTTTTTGCCAAAATTGAAAAATTTCCCTCGTTAAGTACTCATTTTTAGATTTGCTTCAAAACCCTAGGACAGAGAGAGAGAGGGGATGGCGTCCAGTGCCGGAGAGTGGTCGGCAGAGCAGATCGACGATTACGAGACGTTAATTTCGACGACCGATGTGGAACTCTTGAAGAAAGCATGGCGTAACGAGAAGGCGTCTCCTGAGATCCTTCCTTTCGAGGAGGCTTTAGTTAAGAGAGCTAAAGAGCAGATCCAGTTAATGGTACTATTGTCTATCTCATAACTTAACCTTCACCGTTTGTTTGTTTCTCGAGAAAAATCCACTTCTGTAGAAAAGAAAGAAAGATAAAACTGTGATTATTCTCAATTCTAGGTTTCCGTTTGGATACACATCTAATATTCTGCTTCTCTTTACATTAATTACTGAAATGCCTAAAATGTTTTAGATCTGCATTTTTTAAAATATTGAAGAGAGAACTTAATCTTAACTGAATACTTCTACAAACTAATTTTGGGATTAAATTGAAAATTAAACTATTATAATCTGTCAATTATGGTTCAAAATTTTCTCCATAGGCAGAAATTAATTACATATGTGCAATTTGAGCTTTTTTAAAAGTGTGGATTATTCCTCGGAAATCCATAATTATGTATAAATGATGCAAGAGTTCTCAAGATTTGAACCAGATGACAAATAAAAATAATAGCAAATTGTAATCCCTGTTTGCAAAGGAGGGTTCTGCTAAGCATAAGCTAGATGAATATTGATCCTCGCTAATAGTTACTTTGCTAATATATATTTTCTATGAGACTGAATTGTTGCACAATTTGCAGGAGGAAACGTAGATGACTTTGTGGAAAGTGACCATGATCCTCTCATTGCATCACTCTATCAGATGGACATGGATAGGGCTCAATTCTTGTTAAGATCATATCTTCGGGTTCAGCTTCAGAAGGTATAAAAGATCCTCTCAATTTCGTTTCTTTTCTTTGTCTCTTCATATTGTGATGTTTCTAGGGAAGCTGAAAATTGATGATATTCTCTTTATGATGGAAGAACAGACCAATGAATCCTTCTGATTTTGTCTTGAGATCCATTTTCTGCATTTCCTGTATGATCTGCATCCTGAAATTCTTATACTTTCACATTGATTATTTGGGTGATGTTATTAATATAGATTGAGAAGTTCATGTTTATATTTGGAAAACGGATACTTATCGGAACGTCTTTCAATGGAAGAAGAGAAGTTTACTGAAAGATAAAGGCCTTGAGAACTGAATCATATATACATTTAAGTTTATTTGGCAAACTTGGTTTAGAACACCTTATTCTGGAGATGGATGGGCACCTTAATGTATCTGAAAAGTTATCTTTAACATTTGATTTCATGGTTGCAGGTGTATCTGTGACATTGGGAAACATCTTGAAGAAAATGTTCTGTGAAAGTTGCCTGATAATTATCAGTCTGTATTAAAGCAGTCTATTATAAGTGAAGAAGATGATATGGGTAATTCTAATATATCTTTTTTCCCTCCGACTTTTACACTTCAATATTAAGAGGCATTATCTTGTTTCTCTGCACGGTCATGTGATTTGAAGTTAGTAGCATCCAGAATACCATGTTGTTTTGACGCTTCATTTTTCTTGAATGATCATGTCCAGTACATACGGTGACATGATCTTCAAAATATGAGGGAAAAAAGATTGAATATACTCATGCCAAAGACTTGTAGACTTGTATCATAAGTAGAGAAAGTGATTGATATATAAACTGTATTTTCTTTATCAGCCTTACACCTTAGGAGTTAATTTGTTTTTCTCAAGTGATTTGGATTCAAATACTCATTGACTGCAACTGCAATTTTGTCATGTGTACATTTTGCTAGCTGATGATTGATTTATGTAGACGATTTTCAGTTCCAAAGCCACAGCTAGACACATTTGTTGTCGCCAAATGCGAGAGAACAACGAGACCTTTGCACCTTGATGGCAGCAGGCAATTCTATATTCTCACTTATTTCACAGCTTAAAGCTCATAAGAAATAGTAAAAATTATCTTTTCCAGGTTACTTGCTAACAAATCTGTATCATTCATTGAGCAGGGATGACCGCTTTCAAATGGTACCGGGAGATCTATGCATTCTACGTTACAGGCCATTTCAAGAAGAATTGATGAGTGGAAATATCAGTTTAGTTTGAGAGCCTACCTAATTTGTAGCAATCACCAGCAACATAAAGATGGTAACAAAATCTATTCTGACTTTTACAATTTGTAAATAAGAATTTGTTCTGCATCTGGGCTACTTGGTAACTTGCCACAGGGTTAAACTATCAGTCTCTGTTATAGAAGTGAGTAATTCAGTTTGTTTACTTTTAAATTTTAAGTAAAAAATTTAATGGCATCAAACTTAGAATGATGAAAAATGTTTGTATATTGTGCGGCTCCTATAATATGTATTTTACATACTTTTAGTTTATTTATTTGATAAATAAAATTATTAAAAGAGTTTGGTTTGTTTATTAAGGGTAAAATTTTAAGTTTTATATATATATTTTTTTAAATTGTTGCATTAAGTTTAATGATTGGGATTGAGGTTTTTAAATTGATATTGAAGTTTAAAAGTTTTATACTCTATCAATGAGTTTTACCACTAATAGAAATATAAGATTATTAAACATATGTACATTAGATTATTTAGATTGGAATATAAAAGTTTTCTTGTTTAATTCATAAAATCTAAAATTATATTTTATTAAATTATCTTTATTATAATTTTTTTTAAATTTAAGTTTAAAAGAAAAATACGAAACAATTTTAAAAATCATTATTACATTATTTTGGTTGTAAAAGGGATCAAAGGAACTATGTATAAATAGTATGGATGTAAAAATCATGATACATTATTTTGGAATTGATAATTCTACGGAAATTATTTGCCTTAAAAAACAGTCAAATATTTTAGTTACAAATGGAAGACCAAATAAAAAAGTTCATAGTTTTTCCCCCATTAATTTAAGAAAATATTATGTTTTAAATAAACTAGATATAATATTATTGTTAAAAATTATTTAAAAAATTGAGATGAAATTTATCATAATAGTTAAGATCGTCCACATATATTAATGATTTTAGTAAAATTATTGCCTGATATGAGCCAAAAAGAAAAAGAGGCCTCAAACTCGTTATTTGATGACAATTCTCAATGGTTTTAATTTAATTAATTTTATATTGTAAATATTATAATGAAAAATAAAATAAAACTATTAGCACCAAAATGAAAGTTTATAATAATGTATGAAAGGAATTAGTTTTTTTTTTGTATTAGGCCAATGAGGAGGTGAAAACATTAAAAGGTCTAAACTTTATATTTAGATGTCATATTAAAGTGTTTTTTTTTTTCTGTTTATTTAATTTTGTGAGATTTATGAGTTTGCAAAGAAATAAAGATGCCTTTACCATTTTCGTCTGAAAAAGTCTGATTTTATCTATAATCTTTTTTAATTTATAGGGTAAAATTACAATAAAAAGCATAATTGAAACATTCATTAGCAGAAACAATTTTTTTATTATAAAGGTTTGAAAAGGGAGTAGATTTTACCCTTTTCTTTAGTTTATCACAGATGAAATCAACCTAACCTTAGGTGAAAACACGTCAATCAAGTTAATAAGTTTCAATTCTAAATACAAAACGTGTGCAAAAGATATATTACTATGAAATTGAAATTAAAATAATTTTGCAAATTTACCTTTTATCCAATAAATATTTTAACAATTCAATCGTTGAATTTAAGAGTAAACAAAATTTAACTTGAACTACTCGACTCTTAATTTCATAAATTCAACTTAAAAAATTAAATACAAATCAAATTATAAAATAAAAATCAAATAACTCAAAATTTTTAATAATTAATAACTTTATTTTCAAATTTGAGTTGAGTTCCTCAAAAATATGATAAAATATATATGTATTGTATATGATTACAAAAATAGTTTAAATTTGAATCAAATAGTATCATATATAAAAAAATATTTACAATTAAATTTAAAAGGAAGCTGAAACAACTCGACTCGACTCAATTACTCAAATTAAATTTTATAAACTCGAATCGAATTTTATAAACTCAACTAGAAATAATTTCAAATAAAGTTTGAATTATAAAACAAGACCCATCAACTCGAATAACTCAAAGTTTTTTTATTCGACTTGAGTAGATCAAACACTAACCCCTAGCTGAATCTATATATATTCCCCTTTTCTCTAGCCACAACATGGTCATGGATAGAGAAAGATAAACTATCAAATTTTGATTTGAAAAGTTCTGTATTTCGGTTCATGGTTATCAAAAGAAACACGTTTTAGGCTTTTAGCAAAGATTTACGCCACATGTGGTGTGACAAGCAGAGAAACCCTAAGTTTACAAAACTTTCTTCTTTCTGAAATGTATATCATCGACCTATGATGGGTTTCCTAAGGATGAGACTGAGAGCGCAAGCTTACCTTCGAATTCGTGCAATTTCTTACGACTTTTTATCATTGACCAGGGGGTGATGAAAAGAAAATGACCATGAAATATACCAAGAACCCAGCAAGAAGAATTCCCCCATATACGAAAGTTTGAGAAGAATGGACAGGATACTTGAATTCGATATTACAGCATCTCATCCTCTCCCTCTCACTAGTCAAAACGTTCTCAACGTACCTGCATTATAAAGGTTTCGGAACAGAATGATAAATATATACTAAAAATGTTACGTGATACGCTAAAAAACGGAGGAAGAATGACAAGTAGTTTGCATATAGCTATATTGCAGGTTCACTTACTGCTTTGTAAACATGGTGCTTTGAAGAATGTCAGAACTATTCAAATGTGCCTCTTGCAGTCGGTGGTCATATAACAAAGATGAAAGATCAACAAGTTGTTCCTCGAGGTTCTGTTTTAATCAAGGAATGGACCCGGAAAAAAAAATTAAAAACTGCACAAGTTCAAATAACTCGATTGGTTAGCTAGATTAGCTGTGACTTACATCCAAGTATTTCTCTATTCGCTCGACTAATTCGTGTGGGAAAGGTTCGGGCAGGTTTGTTGTTTTCTTGTAAAACTTCTCCACCCATAGCTCGGTAGTTGACTTGTTCTTCTTTCCCTTCACGGGTTCACCGAGTGGTGTCTTCAAATATTCAGCAGTAAAAGATTGGACAGCCTGAAGAAAATGGGAAAGACTCGATAAATAATATCAACTATAAAGGTTACCAACTAGGACAAGGAATGGCTAGAAGAAAACAATACCTCAGATGTATCGCGAATGGTTCTGAGAGCCGAATCTACAAGTGCATAAATTGTATTTCTCTGCCAACAAGGTGGTAGCATGAGTCAAAAATGCCTCCATAAGCTTGTCCACTAGAACCTACTTGAGAACAAATAAGTACCTACTGGACTAAACATCCAATTGAATTTGTAATGTTGTTCCCTAGGAAGCTCAGACAAGCAATACGGGTACAACACGACACAATGTCATGGGGATTTTAGAAAATTTAGGAAATAGGTAAAGTGGGACACAGCGATAAGAACTTTGATCGTGCGTCCAGATGTGTCCGATCATGTCTCAATCTCGTTATGTATGTGTCCAATTTTATTTTTCTGTGTTCTCGAGTGTCCGTGCTTCATGGGTTGTTTCAACCAAATATATACCAAGTTGCAAAGTGCACTCTTAATGCCTCAGGAAGCATGTTCTCGTATGTGATACAAAGAACTTTAAGACAATGAAATTAGCTTACCAGTGCAACATCCTGAAGCATTTGGCTGATTTGCGATGTATTTGAAAATGGTCCAAACGGGTGACAACCCGCAGCCCAGAGCCAATTCACCACAGGCCTTTCATGTACATGAGAAGCTTTTTCATACGGTGCACTCAACCCACCCACAGCAGAAGCAAGTCCTGCTAAAATGTGGCGCTGTGCTTGTGATGGAATACCATATCTTCTCTCCGTTTCAGAAACATAACTAGTCAACAAGCCATGGCAAAGCACGAGGAAAGAGTTAAAAACAAATAGAGACATTAGAAAGCTTTTCGGTCTAGCAAAGTAAAATTTATAAGATAGCTCAAAATCAAAATTATGGTGCTAGGGAATTTTTAAAGGAATCAGGAAAAAGTTACGCTCACCTCAGAGGTATATTTTGACTTTGGTGCTCAAGCACTATGGCAACATCATTTCCTGTCCAAACAAAGCTTTCATCTTCCATCATAAGTTGTGGATCAACATCAGCCAATGATAGCACAAAGCTACAGAAAAATTACTGATTTATGTCTTTTGAATAGCTCTAATTCCCATTACACAATCTACAGGATGGTCCAGACTCCAGAATATTACTTTTTGGGCATTCATTATAATAATATAACACGAGTTGATCCAAAAACATGCCAGAAATATATTTTTTGGCTTTAAAATTATGACAATAATATGAAATTAAAAATCACCTAAAGTTGTATTGCTGATCTAAGCAACAGATGTTCTAATTTTGTGACATGTCAAAATTAACATAAATATGAAACCTCCAATAATATGAACAAGATACAAAACCAATGCTGATTAATCTCTGGAATGATAAAATGGCTACGCAATTTGATTACGGATAATGACGAGGAGTTTTTTTAATTCAAAAAGTGGCAGTAAGAAATCGTCACATGACCTCAATTGATATTTTAAAAATAAATGAATTAAATCATGAAGAAATACGACTCATCACCATTAACCATAAGGCCACGATTTTGTTGATGTTATAACTGATTATCCATGCCTTCCAAACTCAGTTTGTGATGCATGTTTCCGGTATTGAAATATCTTATCAAGCAACTTCGTCATGATTGCAATATAAAAAGTGCTAAACGAGTTGGTCTACTCACACGGGAATAACTCTAGTTCCATAAGTTGGGTGCAGATCCCCTTTTTTCTTCTGTTTTTTCCTTTTCTTATTGTTGCCAACTTTCGAGTTGTAACTAGCCCATAGAGGTTTATGCTTCAGAACCGAATCAGTTGAATTCTCGGATTCATCCATCCAGTGCTGCTAAACATAAAATTCGTGTTATGGCAACAGAGAGAAGCGAAGGAGACAGAGAGAAGCATGGCTGGAATGAGTGTTTAACCTCAGATCCATCCAAACAAAACGGACATGCCACAAATTTATAGTGTTTTTTTAAGAAAACAAGTGAATATAAACTGACCTGGCGAAGGAAAAACTTATTTGAAAGAGATGGGTCAGCCATTTCAAGCAAACCTGCTGCAAGCACATCTGCAGATCGTTCCATCTCCTGTGATGAGCCAACAAAAAACACAGAATAAATATAAACATCCATCATTACCTCAAGGAGACTTCAAGATACCTTGAAAAGAACAAGTTAGCATTGCAAATAAAAAGTACATTAACTAGATACAACAGGCCATCATTATTCTTAGAAAACTTACATCAAAACATGGTGATAAAAACAAAATATTTGATCATATGTAATGTAATGAAAGTAATACTCTTAAAATGAAAATGAGCATAAAAATGGGGAAAAAAGTGGAAAACCCACTTCCTTAAGAATGGCACCATCAAGATATGTCTTGGTGCGAACATGGAAGCGTCCATCCTTCTGTGTTTCTTGCAAGGAATGGCCCCGCATAGCTTTTGACACGGCAATAGCCAACTTCTCATGATGGTGAAGTGCATGTGACCCCCCAATAATCACTACTTCTTGGTCATCATGAACCAACTTTTTCACCTGAAGAAAAAAATATACCCACGTGAAACTCGTTAACTTTGCTTCTAGAGCATCGCATGAAAACAGCTATAATGCCCTCAAAAGAGCCCAAAAATACAACCCATTTGCACACAATGAAAATAAAAGACTTCGATCCAACTAACAAATAACGCAGAGTTATATTCAGGAAAATCGCTCTTCGCATTTAACCAGAAGTTCTAAAAGTAGCTTCCCGTAGTAAAGCATGATGGAACACAGTAGTTAGTCAAAGTATCAGCTATACCACAGTATGATCCACTAAAATTTATTTAGATGTTATTCCACATAACGAGACAAGAAAAAAGGACAATAAGCAGATATAAAGATGCCATTCAAGATGTGCTTCTTACCTCTGCTTCAATTGCCCCAATATCTATGCTGTAATTATGACCTTTTACCATAATATTATACCGGTTATGGTTTTGGAGGACAATAATAGGTATAAGCAGCCTTGTGGTCAGATCAACAGTTTCAAACCTGAGGTCACCCAGGACAAACAAATAAGCAAGCAACTGAAAAGGCACTAAACCCAGTAAATAAGATTGCTAGGAAGGTATAGAAGCTGGGCATTGTTCATGTATCATAATCAACTATGCTTCCAACTTTAAAAAATTGAGAAACATAAAATGCATGTATTAATCAATGAAAGAAGATAGTGTAAAATTACCGAACATCTGGAGCTATAACATTCTCAATTGTGGTTGCCACCAAAGCAGCAAGATGTCCCATGAAATTATCATGGGTGGTATGAGTATTGACAGAAGCCAAACCACCTGGAAATAAGATGCCACGTATTCGTGGCAACGTTCTAGGACCTACACTTCCTTCTTCAGTTTCAATCTTCCCATACGTGCAAGGGCCAGCAGAGAGGTCGATCACAACAAATCTGAACAGTAAAGGCAGAAATGGGTACCAGAGAAAGAGAGATAAAAAAAGGAGCATAAAAAAAATGAAAGAGAGGCTATACAACAGCTGATTGAGAAGTGGAATTTTATGTTATCTAATATCTTGTAAATATTTCTCTTCAAGCAGTCCTTCCTCAATTCCATATATCACATACTCAAAATAAGTAAAACTTCTTTAGACAAAGTAATGCAACATAAAAACAGACCTCTGAGAGCCCAGCCAAACTTGAGTCGCTCCTCCTCCATTGTACCGATATCGATATATATAGTCTCCCTCTTGTTGTTTCATTTCTTCATTAGTCAGTGAGGTAAGTTTGCTATACATCAAACTATCAAGATCAACATCCTTATTCCTAGGATCCATTCTGACCTAAAAAGAGACAGAATCATTCACCGTTGCATCCAAAAAGGAAAAATCCAAATCAATGCATCCATGAAAGGAGGAAAAGAAAACTAAAATACAAGAAATAATCAGAAACATGGGTTTCTGGCATTTGTATAAACTTTTCTGGACAGGTGAGAAGGACAATAAGTATATCAGACTCAGCAAATTTTTGTATTGACAAAGAACATCATTGCCGTTCAAAATTTGAGCTAGCTTATACCTTGTCAAAGTTAACAATAAATATAGCAGCCGGCACAGGTCTATCCGTCTCTTTCGCAGAATATCCCCCACTATCCATGTCAAATATATATGAATATAGCTTTTGGAATACTGGCTCCACAGCTGTTGCTTCCACCTCAAATAGGGGCACCTCTCTCCCAAAATCAGACTAAAATGTAGAAAAAAATAGAAATTCATTTACAAAAGATTTGATATAGTTAATTTTCCTTTCAACAATCAAGAGTAATAGTAAATATGAAGCAATATAGTAAACCTCTCTTGCAGAACCAGAAGGAACCATGGCTTCCTTCAGTGCCTTCTCAAGTGCAATCAATTCTGGCTGCCCTGCCTATTGTATAACAAATAATTGAAGTACAACAATAGCTACTCAGTTTGGATCTCCAGATGAAGGCTGAAGCTTAAACTAGTAGTAATTATTAAGCTGCAACAAGGAAAGAAAATCTTACAGGAAATGTGTTATAAACAATATGATGTTCTATATCGAGTGGCTCCCCAGTCTCAAGACAGGAAGGCCTATGGGAGGGAAAGCTGACACGCAGAAACTCCTCCAATTTAGGTGCATCCACTGTGTAACGATAGCCACCATCTCCATTGAGGCCAATTAGCACCACATTCACTTCGAGCGGAACCTGGAATGGAACCTGCAAAAGAGAACCTATTCTAATCATACCAGAGATGAGTAACAATAATCTAACAAGTACTACCTCCAAATTTTTGGGACGAAATTTGAATTTTTAATTACATTTTAGGGAGATCAATTGTGTAGATCAAATTCAGTCATTTTGAGTCCTATATTTTTGCCAATTAGACTATCTAAAATAATAAAAAAAAAACGAGACATAGCCTGATGAAAATTGGTGAGGAAAAAGTTTATATTTGTTCTTATTAGAAATTTAATTAGACTTTTAGAATGAGAACATATTCTAATCATCACAAGAGATTAGTAAAACTAAGCTATCAGTCATTACCTCCTTAAATTTCAAGAGATGTCCGGAACGCAATTCGAATTTTGGATAACATTTTTTCTGAGATCAACTATGTAGCTAAACTACAGATATTTGGATTCCTATAAATTTCGTAAATTCAACGGTCTAACATACTCAATGATGACAAAACTCGATGAAAATTGAGGAGGAAAAAGTTTATACATCAATTACTTAAGAGATTTAACAACAGATTTTGAGAGCGACAAGCGGTTACCTCGGCACGCGAGTGGAGCGTGCGGCGAACATCGGATCGGACGCTGTCGCGGACTTCGAGGAAGGCGCTATGGTGCCAGTGAGGGTGACCAGGGTCTCTTTTGAAAGCTTGTCGAGCTGACTCGGAGTGAGAGGCGAGTCCACTAAGTGCAACGAGAAATAACATAAACGACAACCTTGATCTCGATTCCATTTCGTTGATAAAAGCGAGAAATAACATAACCGGCAATGACTTGCGCATATCACACTGAATGGGCGATTTATTGATTTGCATTTTTCCAAAATGATCCCTACTTTTGCGGATAAATTACGATGTGACGAATGGAGCCTTTTATAATGGGCCTTTTAATGGACATTCAACTTGGAGCACCCCATTATGGTCAAGAAGAAAAACTTGCACCCCATTGCATCTGTTCCTTACTTGACGATTCTAGTTAACTTATAAATTGTTTATTATTATAATTTTTTGTTATTATAAGATAATATTTATTCAAAATCTTTTTTTATTTATTCACAATAAGTACACGTTCTAAAGTTACAACTATTCAAATTCATAACTTTTAAAAAAGATGGGATAAATTGATACAAATTTCATTTCTTATGAATGAAAATAGGAGACTAGCCTAACTAATGTTTAGGCTTACAATACAGTGATCCAAATACATTTCATTCCAACAAAAAAACAAACAATAGGGGATCATCGAGCACGATAGTAGGGATATAAAAAGTTGATTGATTTGTAAAATTGTCTGAAATCGACTTGAGTCAAAATTGTTTATAAGTCGAGGTGGTGGTGATCTGAAATTGATTCGAGTATGAAGTGGTGTTGATCTGAACCCGAGTTAAACTTAGAATTTGTGGATCTGAACCGACCTGCACACGATCTAATTTGAGAATGACCTGAACTCGAATTGAACCGATAATATGATAACTGAACCCGAGGTGCATTCGACTGAAATGAACCCGAACACAAGATTAAGGTGATAAATAACTGGTATTATCCAACCTGCTATCAACCTGACCTGTTATGAACCTGACCTGTAAATGATCTGACTTATTATTAAACTGATATAATATTTACCTGACTTATAAGTTATAATTGATAAAATTGTGAGATTTTGAATTTATAATAAATTATGATAATTAATAGGATTACTTTTTAAAAGTTAAAACAAATTGTTAGTTAAGATAATTAAATTAATAAATTTACTTTCTACATTAATTATAGTTTTTATATTAAAAATAATAGTTATAATCATTAAATTAATTTCATTAAATAATTTATTTATTAAACATAATTTTTTAGATTAGATAAAATTAATTTAAATATGTACAAGTTTAATTTAGTTTTATGCAATAACAATTAATAATTAAATATAATTTAACCTAAATTTTTTAAAAATATATAAAAATAAATTTACTTGATATTAAAATTTTGAATAACATAAAATTTATTACACTTTAATACACTAAAATTATAGTAAAATAAACTAAATAATATTATAATAAAATGAACTAAGATTGAAAAAAATATGTAATCCTTGTATTATAAAACTTAATTATAATCATTAAATTACACTTTAATACACTAAAAGTCCAATACAATTCATTTAGAGTCCATTTACATATATAAAGTCTATTACAATATATAATGAAAACCCATTTATAAAAATCTTTAAAATCCCACTTTTAGCCCACTTTGCTTTTGTTTTTTTAAAAGAAAAAATTTTCCACTAGTTTCATCACTTTGTCGGTTTTGGAGGAAAAAAAGGGAGGTGAGACCCTCGCATTTATGGAGTTGAAAGTTTTAAGGATTTGCCAAGTTGACAATCCATGTGGACCAAAGCTAATTACATGAGTAGGCTGTAAATGAAACGAGATAGATCGTGAATTATTTGAGATCGATTTGATCAAGGCTTGATAAATACTCAGATCGAATAGACTCGATTCAAGCTCGAGCTCAATTCGAGTTCTTAACGATCAGAAACGAGCTACTTGATATTCTGCTTGAAAAGCTCTTGAGCAACTAAAAAATATAATATATTAAGATTTTATTTTTTAAATAAATTATTAATAATATTAACATTTATGTATTGATTTTTTATATAAAAAATACAGTAAGATTTTTATGTATTTAAGGTTCAAGTTCGAGTTTGAGGCTTCAATCGAGTTAAGTTTAAGTTTTTTTTTCATTTCGAGCCTTTTCGAGCTGCTCACGAGCTTCAGTTCAAGATTTCGAGTTCGAGTCGAGCTTGAAAATTTTAAGCTCGCGAGTTTTCGAGTCGAGATTAGTAATACTCGAGCTCGACTCGGCTCGTTTTCACCCATACATGTGAGCCTTAGATGAATTTTTTTAATAATTATAATTTTTTATTAATTTTATCTTTATCTAAAAAATAAATTATGACACACACACATATATATACACACACGAATCAAGTGGCCTATGTAGTAAATAATTGTTATTATTTTTAAAGAACTTAGGTTCGAACACCATAAATATCAGGAGTGTGAGCGTTTAAAGTCGAAAAATTGAGTATGTTCTTTGAACAAATACTGCATTGTACTTACCTAAATTAATCAATATATATATAGAATCCAAAACCTTATAAACTTTTGTTATTCAACTTTTGAAATGAATGCAATTCAACCCATTTTTTATATTAATTTCAGTTTCACATTTTACAACTATATCAATTTGATCCCTATGTGTTGTTTAATTTATTTAAATTTTAATTTGTAATTTCATATTTATTCAATTTAGTGCTTACAATTATATTTGTATATGAAATTGACTCATACTTATTTATATTTTTATAATTTAATTCAAATTCAATAAATCACATAATATACTTCATTTCAAACTCTATAAATTATATCATAATCTCCGAACCTATAAACCTTTTTTCACCAACTTTTTAAATGGATTCAATTTATTCATTTTTATGTTAATTTCAGCTTAACATTTTATAATTATTTCGATTTGATACCACACATGTTGTTTAATTTATTTAAAATTGACTCATAATTATTTATATTTTTTATAGTTTACTCCAAATAATGTACGATTACAAATTACAATTCGTTGTTCATGAAAGGCAAAAAATAATTAACCCAAAAATGACTCAATTGAAGTCAATTCGTACCCGGTAAGATTTGATTTGAATTTTGTCTGATGTGACACGCTCTGAACGAGATCTGACCTGAAGTCCATCCGAACTTAAATTAATCTGGTATTTAACTGATTCAGACTTGAACCATTTTGACTTGAATTGACATCGATTTGAATCTGATGTCAAATCAATCTAAAAATTACCCGAACTGATTTGACCAAGATCCAACCTAATCCGAGCTAAACCATCAAATTGATCTGACACAATATGTATCGATATGACTTAACTTGACGGATCAAACTGAAATCTGAACAATTATCTGATTTCACATCCGATAGTGGCATTCCTTGAACGATCTATAAATTCTATAAATTTAGCGAACATATCAGCTGGCTAGGTAGCTTCACGCAGCACCCTTTTAAGGTCCACCGACCAACCATTCCTTTTCATATTATTGATGGCATGAACAAAGGATATCGAACTCAAATACGCCATTAGATCTTGAGTGAACTTTAAATCCTTTATGCAATTAGATTGAATCTGCAAAGTAGTGATACCATTTTCCCAAACGGTACAAATTTCATTTTTAAATTATTTTTCTCTCTTATTGTAAGTGTCCAATAATATTAATTATTGAACCACTCTCTATTATATTCAAATTCAACATAATATTATTGGCTAAACAAGGATGGTGCTTAGTTTCAAACCCAAGTTCGTTATTCTAACGTATATTACTAGCCAAGTACTTCCCGAATTCTACTTTTTTAAAAGCTAATCTCGGTTCTCAGCCTTCGCTCATTTGGGGGAGTATACGGAGTTCAAGAAGATTACTTCATATGGGTTTGGGATGGAGGATTGGTAGTGGGCTGTCGATCTCTATTTGGAATGATTTCTGGCTGCCAGGATTTCCGGTTAGAAGACTAGAGAACACAAACTTCTCAAGTGGATAAAGTTTCAGATCTGATTTCGACAAACGAGAATAGATGGAATATAGGTTTAATCCTATCTCTTTTTACAAAGGAAGAAGCAGAATGCATCATGTCCATCCGCATCCCTGATTTCCCATAAGATGACCTCCTAGTTTAGAGAGGTGAAGGCTCGGGCATTTATTCGGTACGAAGTGGTTATAAGTTGCTTATTAAAGAAGACTGTGTCGATGACTCATCAATGACATTTTTAAACTAATTTGGCACACCACGTGTCAATCAAAGGTCAAAGTTCTTCTCTCAAAATTTGCTAATAACTATGTTCCTACTATGCACAATCTTTTATTAAGCGAGTAACACAGTCTGCCAAATGTCCTAGATGCGATCATAATGTGGAAGACATATGTCATGTTAGTAGAGATTGTCCCTTAGCTTAGGCTGTTTGAAACAGTTTCAACATTAACTAGCCACAAGAGGGTAATTTCTGGAATTTTAAAAAATGACTTCTTTACTTGTTACAGTCCAATAGCAGAGATAGACAAAACGTGGTGGCTATTTCTATATGGTATTGATGGCTTTCCAGAAATAAACTTATTCATGAGCATTGCAACCAATGTTTGGAGAATGTGATCAACTCCATCCGAAGTCATCTAGCTGAGATTGATACCCTCTCATCCACATTACACCAAGTCTAGAAATCAACCCTGTTTAAGACGAACATCTTTCAATGATTGTATTTAGTGAATTTAAAGTTTGAATTCCGAAATTTGTAAACCTCAACACAAATATTTATATTTGGATTATGGGATTTTTTTACCAGCTGAAATATGGAAGAGTAACTAACAATAACGTCAGACTTTTTTGTTTGTAAACCAAGTAATGGCTTCTAGTGCTTTAGCCTACATATATCCTAATGCATCCCCATTCAAATTGTCCCCTCCCATCATTGGACAATCTGATGAGTCATGCTCGAACTGTCCACAGCAAGAACTGGAAAAATGTCTTCGTTTTGACTGATATCAATCCCGTCTCGCGGCCTTCTATCTTTCATCTTTCCTGATGTGAGAGGTTCGTGAGAAGTCCCCATCGTGAAACTTTGAACGAATCCATCGGTATCTTCTACCTCTGGTAAGATCAAACCAGACGGACAATTGTATACGATATCATTCACGCTCTGCGTT